CTTATGTTTTACGCCGCTATTTTGTTTTTAGGTTTTTTTGACTCAGTTTAATATCTTTTTATATACACTTAACTTATTCTCTGGAAATGGTTAGACTAAAATAACTTTAACTCAAACATTACAATATATATTCTGATTACATCTATAAATAAATAAATTTAAGCCACGCCTTTATAAATATAAAATCATGTACTACATATTTAAAAGCACACATATTGTAGATATATTTCATTTTTCATTAAAACACTGACTAACCATGTCACCAACAACTAAACGTTCTCAATTATAATATACTATTATAAATTCCTTTTGCTATACTAATCTTTTCCGTGGTTTTTCCTTGGCATCCGCCGCTTTTATAAAGTTTTTCTTATTTTGTTGAACCTCTGTTGTTCTGTCCCGCCGCTTTCCTGATATTTTATACTCTATGGACTTATCAACTTATAACTTTAACTAAAAAATCACATTTTTATCAGCAGAAAAACATTTATGTAATGACAGCAGTTGACAAATAATGTTAGTAATATTTAAGAATTAAAATGCAATAAAACTGATGAACAAAAATGTTACAAAATCGGCGGAACAAAAATACTATGAAAATTGCGTAACAAAAAAATGATTTAAGTAGAAAAATATTAAGCTATATTTTAAATAAAATTTCATAGTAAATCTAAAAAATAGGCCGCCATTATAAAAAGCCACAACTTTGTATTATTACTAAAAACTAACAAAATCGCACAAATATATTGTATTATATTGTATTAATACTTTTTAATTTTTATATAATAAAATCAAGATCTTCTAAATATATATTCATACATTATTAAGAGATGTCACATTCAAGTTTAGTCACAAACTGAACATGTCACAGTTTATTCACCATGAGATTGTTAGCGATGCACAGACATATAGTAGAAAATTTAAAACTTATAGTAAGAATGTACAAATACATTTATACTATGATACGGAAAGTAAAAATCTAGATCAAAATACCTGTTGCATTTTGAGCAATCAATGTTTGATTCTTCTTCGATACATTTATTTGGCGAGAAACAAAATTTGCATATACTTTCACAGCGATGGCTAAATACATTCATATATCCTTTGAGACATGTTTTGCAAAAATAATTACATTTCAAAAATGCTTTTATTGATAATAAACAATCTGCATGGTTATTTATAACTAATACATATATTTGTTTGTCAGCAAATTGTCCTTTAAAAATGAACGTTTTAGGCGGAGAGACAATTATAAGTTGATACTCATTTCCAAGGGCATTTTGAAATTTTTGAAAGCAATCATACGAAAATCCTAATGAATTAACATTGAGGCCTGCTTTTTGACACAAGTCCAGAGCTTTTAATGTTTGTATATTACCAATATTTTCACGATATCGCCGCCAATTTAATTTTCTGAGCCCATCAGCATATACTTTTGATAATACTATTGCGCGGGCTAAACAATAAGGCAGCGGATTATGTCCTTATTGAAATAAACTTAAAGAAGAGGTGCTTAGTTATAATCATATACTGCCGTGACATATAGCAGGAGGTTAATGACCATGCGCGTGTTGTTAATGTATTTGAAGATATAATCCATTTAATAAAAATTCACGTTTGCTTTGACTCACTTTAATGATTTCATTTGTTAAAAGATCAATATTGAAAGACTCTTTTTCACGAAAAGGAATAAAAATTTCGTTTTCGAGTTCAATATTTTTCAGGGAAATACGTATCATATCTTTATTATCAAATTCATTTAATATTGTATTGAATATTTCCTCTAAGACACGTTTTATTTCGTCAATGATAAATAATAAAAGATCTAAAAATGAAAGGCATAGTATCATATTTACATAAACATGTAAGAATGATATTCAAAATTTAAAAGATGATATACAGACACGTAGCGATTGTTAGAGTACCACTTATTTGACACTGTACAAGTATTTGTGACTAAACTTGAATGTGACATCTCTTAATAATGTATGAATATATATTTAGAAAATCTTAATTTTATTATATAAAAATTAAAAAGTATTAATACAATATAATACGATATATTTGTGCGATTTTGTTAGTTTTTAGTAATAATACAAAGTTCTGGCTTTTTATAATGGCGGCCTATTTTTTAGATTTACTATGAAATTTTATTTAAAATATAGCTTAATATTTTTTCTACTTAAATCATTTTTTTGTTACGCTACTTTCATAGTATTTTTGTATCGCCGATTTTGTAACATTTTTGTTCATCAGTTTTATTGCATTTTAATTCCTAAACATTCCCAACATTATTTGCCAACTGCTGTCATTACATAAATGTTTTTCTGCTGATAAAAATGTGATTTTTTATTTAAAGTTATAAGTTGATAAGTCCATAGAGTATAAAATATCAGGAAAGCGGCGGGACAAAACAACAGAGGTTCAACAACATAAGAAAAACTTTATAAAAGCGGCGGATGCCAAGGAAAAACCACAGAAAAGATTAATAAAACAAAAGGAATTTATAATAGTATATTATTATTGAAAACGTTTAGTTGTTGGTGACATGGTTAGTCAGTGTTTTAATGAAAAATGAAATATATCTACAATATGTGTGCTTTTAAATATGTAGTACATGATTTTATATTTATAAAGGCGTGGCTTATATTTATTTATTTATAGATGTAATAAGAATATATATTGTAATGTTTGAGTTAAAGTTATTTTAGTCTAACCATTTCCAGAGAATAAGTTAAGTGAATATAAAAAGATATTAAATAGAGGGGGGAAAAACCTAAAAACAAAATAGCGGCGTAAAACATAAGAAAAACTTGGAAACATTTTTATAATTTGTTTTACATTATATTGTTTATCAAAGGCGCGGCGTAAATAGAAATTATTTGTTTTATAACTATAATCAGAAGATAAAATGTAATGTTTGGGCTAACAGTATTTTATTTTAAACATTTTTAGGGAATAAGTAGTCTGTAAATAAGGAAAGATATATTTAAAAAAAAGTATCGAAAGCATTGAACAAAAGTTGTCTTGTAAAATAAGTAAAGAACGCACAAAAAGTTAGTAAAGTATAAAATTTATTGAAAAAAGTTGTGCCGGAAAGTTTTGAAAGAGCGCACAAAAAAGTTAGTAAAGTATAAAAAATTTACAAAAAAGTTGTACCGGAAAGTTTTTAAAGAGCGCACAAAAAAGTTAGTAAAGTATAAAATTTATTGAAAAAAGTTGTGCCGGAAAGTTTTTTAAAAGCGCACAAAAAAGTTAGTAAAGTATAAAAAATTTACAAAAAAGTTGTGCCGGAAAGTTTTGAAAGAGCGCACAAAAAAGTTAGTAAAGTATAGAATTTATTGAAAAAAGTTGTGCCGGAAAGTTTTGAAAGAGCGCACAAAAAAGTTAGTAAAGTATAAAATTTATTGAAAAAAGTTGTGCCGGAAAGTTTTTAAAGAGCGCACAAAAAAGTTAGTAAAGTATAAAAATTATTGAAAAATTCTAAGTCCAGAGAGTAAAAAAAGTTGAGAAAAAAAGTTGAGAAAAAAGTTGAAGAAAAAAGCGGCAAAAAATAGGCGGCGGATAAAAAAGTTGAAAAATAGTTGAGAAATAAAAGTTACAGAAAAAAGTTGAAAAAAGCGGCACAAAATAGGCGGCGGATAAAAAAGTTGAAAAATAGTTGAGAAATAAAAGTTAAAGAAAAAAAGTTGAAAAAAGTTGAGAAATAAAAGTTTAAGAAAAAAAGTTGAAAAAAGCGGCACAAAATAGGCGGCGGATAAAAAAGTTGAGAAAAAAGTTGAACAAAAAAATGTTGAGAAAAACAGGCGGCGGATAAAAAAGCAGAACAGAAAATGCAAAGTAAAGCAGAGAAATAGAGAGCAAAGAAGAGATGTTGAGAGCACTGTGTGTTGCGTTGAAATGACAGTGAGAGGCATTGAGCACTGCGTTATATACTAAAGCGCTGCTTTCCTCTCCTATACTATGCTGTGCTAAAAAACGCGCGTTTTTTAAACACTACTATCTCTATAAAACTCTATTAATTTATTATTTTTCGGCTTATTTATATCTACTTTTTGGGTCCAGTCTTTCTCCTCAACTACTGATACTATATTAATATTTTATAATTTAGCTATGTTGAAATTATTATGTGGTTTGTAGAATTGTTCACCCCTTTGGGATTTAATATGAGTATAATCTCCGCATTTCAAATATGAGACTCACTATGAATTCAATTTATTGGTCAAATTTAACCGAAATTTTTTTTAATGAAATGATTTGATGTGAAACAGTATTTATTAAGTGACAAAACCATGTCATCCATTTGTCTGTATGTCTTGTGGTTCCGAAGTAATCCTCTCCCGAAGAGGTCCACTCCCGAACTAGATTTGGCAATGCTATTCAATGGCAATCAATATATTTAACAAATTAATGTGTTGAAATTTTTAAATTGGCTGGATCAATTGTTAAAATTTATACCTAATTGTCATTTTCTTTATCTAGTCTTTGAATAAAAACACTTTACGGCATTTTATTATCACTTATTAAAAAAGTGCCATGGTCATTGTGCCAAAGCTATTTCGGGAGTGGACTTCTTCGGGAGAGGATTACTCCTAAACCACAAGACATACAGACAAATGGATGACATGGTTTTGTCACTTAATAAATACTGTTTCACATCAAGTCATCGTTTAAAAATTTTCGGTTATATTTGACCAATAAATTAAATTTTAGTCAGTCTCGTTTTTGAAATTCATTTGTTTGATCTTAATTATATGACACAGACTTAACATGGGTAATACTAAAATAAATTCCAGTTAGAATGCTGTTAGAATGTAGAGAGAACTTATTTAACTATAAATATAATCAATTATTTTTTATTATAATTTATTGTATTTTATTGTAAAATAAAAATGATTGGAATTCACATAATATTACCTGGTTATTTAATAATACGGTAATTAGTATTTAAAAAGTAAAATTTACAACACATTTCTTGATTAAGAAAAAGTAATCCCATTTTACATGTGTTTACGTATGAGTTGGCGTAGTTTAGTCTCATTAGTGCTAGATAACTCATCCACTTTTTGCTTATTCTTGATAAGTATAAATGTGGGCATAACTGACACCTTGTGATCTGTGGCAATGTCTTCATTATCGTCCACATCGACCTTCAGGAACAGCACTTCATTGGCCAACTCAGCGCACATTATGGTAAAAACAGAATCAGATTTTTTGCCCAGATCTACCCAGAAATCATAGAAATATACCACCACCAATTTGCCACAGGCACCCGATAATTGACCATGAAAGTCTGATTTGCCTGTCACATTGTGGTAACCCGTTGCTTTTGTTTGTATAAAGTGCTTGATTGGTTGCACTCGGATTTAACAGTAAATTGAATGCCGGGTTAATTATTATTTAAAAATTTTGCAAAAAATAACCATGTAAATATAGTGTGTTAAATAGTGTAATTACCTAATCGTTTCGCGTTTGATGTAGATGGTATTGATAATGGATGATATCTATTATTGTGATCCCGGTCACTTAGCGCAAGTTTTAGTGCCGCAATTTCTGCCCGCAACGACTCGATACAGTCGTGTCCCGATGTCATCACATGTTCGCATTTAACGCACATGGTGATATTATAACTGCAGTTTATTGTATGTTGTGGTAATTTGTCAAATTTAATCACTTGTCGACACCCCTTATCCCAATAGTCGCAACGTATTTTAAACCGACCCATCGTGTTCACCAACACTCTAAATGTGTATGGTGTAAATTCATATCACGATTGTTGTATTTATATTTAATATAAACAATTTATCTATCTATGCACTTTAACTAACCTTGATGCTCGTGACAATTCACTCGCTGTCAATCGTTTTCTATCGTAGGGACAGGTATTGTTTGTCTCAAGCCATTCAGTTATACAGTCATCGCAAAAGGTTTGTAGACAACAGCTTGTAGTGACCGGAGTGTTGAATATCTCGTGACATATACTACACGTGTATTCGTCACGATCTTCGGCCGAGAGATCGGGAAACCGGTCGCTACTATAGCCCGGCATTTATCCGCATTATATATTATTGTAAATAAAAATGTTTTTTATTAGTTATAATCAGTGAATCTAATAGTTACATAGATATCTGGTAAAGACACAGATAATATTATATTACATTTGAATTGATGCATAATTAGGGTGACCAGCTGTCTTCTGTTTAGAGAATAGTCTTTTATTTGAACATAATTAGGGCATTGGTCCATTAAGATTTACTAATGAAATCATCACAAAAACTTGTATTTTCTATTTTGTTTCTATAATTGTTAACTATGTCGCTAATTATCTTCTATAACTCATATAAAGTGCTACTTATCTAAAATGTGAGTTGGTCAACCTATGTACAATGTTGTTGAGACAGGAAATTTATATTTAAACAAATTGATGAATCAACTAAAGTTTTTGAAATTAATTAATATAATCAACACTGTTATTGTTGTTTCAATATAATATGAAAATTCTTATGAAATTATTGTGTAATTAATGCTAGTCTAATGAATTATTTTAGTTGCACATTATACCATAATCAATATTGTTTATAAATAAAATAACTAATATTTTAGTTGGAATATAAACGCAAAATTAATATACAGCATTTTACAACTAGTTTAAATAGCAAATTAACAGTTAATTTAAATTTAAATTTATAATTATAATCCCAGTTATAAAAATCCTTATTTAAATAAAATTGTTAATAAATAAAATTTAACTAATGAATAAACTAAATTCTACATGAATGAATTGTAGTTCAAAATATATTTTTATTATTTTATAATAATTTATATATTTGATTACAATAACTAATTTATTAAAGAATTTAATTAATGAATTGCAATGGAATAGTATTAATGGTTTGAATTCTGTTATGTCGTGAAAAGCGGTCGACAAGTGATGGCCTCAACCAATGCCATAATCGGCTGTCAATTACGGCGACAATCAATTGCTGGCCATTAGTGCCAAACCAGAGGCCAAAGAGTCCGCCGATGTATGACATGTACTGATTTTGTTAGTTTTTAGTAATAATACAAAGTTCTGGCTTTTTATAATGGCGGCCTATTTTTTAGATTTACTATGAAATTTTATTTAAAATATAGCTTAATATTTTTTCTACTTAAATCATTTTTTTTGTTACGCTACTTTCATAGTATTTTTGTACCGCCGATTTTGTAACATTTTTGTTCATCAGTTTTATTGCATTTTAATTCTTAAACATTATAAACATTATTTGTCAACTGCTGTCATTACATAAATGTTTTTCTGCTGATAAAAATGTGATTTTTTAGTTAAAGTTATAAGTTGATAAGTCCATAGAGTATAAAATATCAGGAATGCGGCGGGACAAAACAACAGAGGTTCAACAAAATAAGAAAAACTTTATAAAAGCGGCGGATGCCAAGGAAAAACCACGGAAAAGATTAGTAAAGCAAAAGGAATTTATAATAGTATATTATAATTGAGAACGTTTAGTTGTTGGTGACATGGTTAGTCAGTGTTTTAATGAAAAATAAAATATATCTACAATATGTGTGCTTTTAAATATGTAGTACATGATTTTATATTTATAAAGGCGTGGCTTAAATTTATTTATTTATAGATGTAATCAGAATATATATTGTAATGTTTGAGTTAAAGTTATTTTAGTCTAACCATTTCTAGAGAATAAGTTAAGTGTATATAAAAAGATATTAAACTGAGTCAAAAAACCTAAAAACAAAATAGCGGCGTAAAACATAAGAAGAAAAACTTGGAAACATTTTTATAATTTGTTTTAAATTATATTGTTTATCAAAGGCGCGGCGTAAATAGAAATTATTTGTTTTATAACTATAATCAGAAGATAAAATGTAATGTTTGGGCTAACAGTATTTCATTCTAAACATTTTTAGGGAATAAGTAAAGTCAGTAAATAAGGAGATATATTTAAAAAAGTATCGAAAGCATTGAACAAAAGTTGTCTTGTAAAATAAGTAAAGAGCGCACAAAAAGTTAGTAAAGTATAAAATTTATTGAAAAAAGTTGTGCCGGAAAGTTTTGAAAGAGCGCACAAAAAAGTTAGTAAAGTATAAAAAATTTACAAAAAAGTTGTACCGGAAAGTTTTTAA